CCTACCTACCTACCTACCTACCTACCTACCTACCTACCTACCTACCTACCTACCTACCTACCTACCTACCTACCTAACGTATTTCTGGTATTTTCCTTCCGCTGGAATAATCAGCAGCTGAATGATGTTTTCTTGTTTGTGTCTTTAAACCAACGAAACCTGTTTATCTTCTAACATGTTTACTCTTCTTGTCTTCTTCTCCTCTCTCCATCCCTCCTTCCCCCTCTCTGTTTGTTCCCCCTGCAGGTATGCATTGTGCAAAAGAGGGACACAGAGAAGATGTACGCCATGAAGTACATGAACAAACAGCAGTGCATAGAGAGAGATGAGGTCCGAAACGTCTTTAGAGAGCTTGAGATCCTACAGGAAATTGAACATGTATTTTTAGTAAATCTCTGGTGACTATCCAATGTTTTTACACTTTCAGTGTGGTCTGCTGTCGCTTGCTGTATTGTCTGTGCGTTTTCTGCAGTGCATGCTTCTCCCCAGATCTGCTTTCTGTGGGTTTTGCGCTCATTGTGTCGCATGCATGCATTTCTTTAATCAAGTTTTATTTTCTCCACAAACAAACCTCTATTAAGTTGAGAAACAATTTACACAGAGGAGATATTTTTTGCATATTAGTTTAGACTCTGAGCCCATGAAACGCACATTTGATAATTACCACACTTTGAAATGACCTTACTACTCCCTGGAGCCTGATATGTGGGTGAACGGAGGCTGACTTCATTATTCAACGCTCTCGTTCTCAGGCGGGACTCATTTCCAAATGTAATTGTGAAGCTGGCATTCGCTGCCTATTAGACAAAGCACTGTACTCCTCTGTAATTGGGAGAATAGTTGCGTGTTTCAGAGCAATGGCTGCCAGTAAATTTTGTATCTGACACATCCTGTGATGATTACAAGCAAACCACACAAATTAATGTTTTGGACTTGCAGCCTGGTAAAGTTCTGATTTAAGTTTGATCTATTGGATGTTTTCCCTGTTAGAGATTCTCCCCTTCTTGGAGAAACTGAGGACATTTTAATGAGCATACAGTAGTGGCTCTGTGTGTATATTTTTTTATATAATTCCCTGTAGGAGTTTGCGGCTGCCAGAACCTTCTGTGTTCTAGTTTTCAATGTGCCGGGCTGCTCCACTCTCCCTCTCATATTCTGCATCCAGCACTATTTTGAGTGCCCATTAGCGACAAACACACTGTCTTTGCAGCTATGTGGGAATTAGAAGTTTCACACCTCCTCTCCCTGCTCATGAGACTCTCCAAAAAGTCGCTGTCCATCTCACTGGGGGAACAGCGGCCGCGTCTCGGCTTCCCTCCCACCACAGTCGCAGTGGTGCCGTGCTCAGCAGTTTGTTTTCCCTTTAGCTGGTACCTTTTAGCGCTTGGCAGTGCAGCCAGAAAAAGACATTTTATCTCAGGATTTGTACACAGGCTGGCAGCACACAGTCAGTATTTCCTACGTTTATTGGCTTCAGTGGTGAAATAGTGACAGAAATGTCAATGCGGTTTAAAAAAATTTATGCATTGATTTTCTAATTATACCTAAACAAGACGGTTCACTTAAAATAACACAAGAGGATTTGATTTGTACAAGAAAAACAATGGTGGACACATTCTTTTGCTTTAAGCTCCTTTTATGGCCATTTAACTGTAAATTCATGCAATGTTTTTACATCAGATTCATGTTGGGTTAAATATGTGCATTTGAAGCCAGCAGTGTTGGCCACACCTCCGCTAATGCGCTAATAGGAGAGCTAGTTTTTCCCTTAGCACTTTGGCTAACTTTGAAAACATTTAGCACACTTAGCTTTAATTTTTCAGTATCAAAATTTTAGAAATTTTCAAATTCATCAAATTTTGATGTTCATGCTCTTATTTTGAAGTGGATGAAGATGCAGTTCTGTTTCCTCTCTTCTCGTTCATTCTCTTTTTTCCGTTCATTAACTTTATTTCAAACAAGAAACAGTAACAAAAGAAAACAGATAAATACAATATCTAAAGTAAATTGTAATGTCAATATTAAATTGGGTTTTAGTATCTCCACAGCAGATTTAATTTAATAATGTTAGCATAGTGCTTTAGCGTTAGCAGAACTAATGTTTATGATTAGCGCAACAAATGTTTTAGTTAGCGGTGGAAACCAGTTATTTATATGAGTACAAAAGGACTAAGGACCTTTTTTGTTCAATATTTGACATTAAATCAGGCAAAACGTTTCCTGTTTTAGGTCATATTAACTCAATTATTTCTATTTTCTTGTTTCTTGAACAATAAGATAAACATTTGACTTTCCTGGAGGATTACTTTTGTGAGATCATAAGGAAAATTTGACCTTCAAGTCTGGCTCTCTTAAAAAAATGTAGAAAACAATTACTCTTTAAAAGATTAAAGTCAAGACCTTCCTGTTGGTAAATAACAAAACCTGAGAGGATTCATCTCTGTTTTTGTCTTTTTTGCTCATCTTCTAGAATAGATGTTCAGCGTCTTACCAAAGAAAGATCTGTCTATTAAATGTTCAACCTATTTAAATTTCCTGATCAAATTGGGCCAACAGGCCAAAAAAGACTGAGGAAGACAGCGGTGTGGGTGGTGAAAAGTGATGAAGCTGATGCTGAGTGTCAGCTGGAAGGAAGTAGATGTTGGCGGAGGGGAAGAAGGTTGGCTGACTGAGCGGAGTGGGCGGCGTAAAGAAAAAGCCTGAGACAATGACCGACTTTCAGTGGAGGAGAAGCAGCGTTATCCTACGGAGCAAGAAAACAAAAGAGTTAAATGAAAATTATGTTAGATAAGTTGAAAAAGGTAGCTTGGATTGACTGAGTGGGTTGAAAAACAATTAAATAAGCAAACAGACAGAAGTACTGTGAAAAGAAAAAAACTTTTCTAAGATAATTAGGTTGTTTAAGTCGATGGTTGAATGTTGTTTTTCCTCTTTCAACATCAGCATGACTGTTGCGGCAGCGCTTTTCTCTACAAGCTGATTGTGATGTTTTACCTTATATACGACCATTGAAAAGTGGAAAATAAAGAAATCATGGAAGTTTTACAGATTATTTTCTTTCTAGTTTTTAGTGCAAATATCTTTGTCCACTTGAAATAAGCAAAAGAAGTAACATTTCAGAAAGATATAGCAGCTTGTTTTAAGTCAATAACTCCTTAATGATGACTAAAAAGTACCAGTTCCACTGGCAGATTATGGTAAAATGTCTTATAAGTGAATTTATCTGCAAATGTAACTAGTACATTTTTAAAAATCAGTATTGAGGAGTTTTTTACTTAAAACAAGCTCTCATATCTTGCTGAAAGGTTACTTGTAAGTTACTTTTTTATTTAAAGTTTCCAAAGATATTTCCAAAGAAACACTTGGTAAGATTTTGTATTTTTGGAGCGTAATCGACCCACAATATCATTTTCACTGTTCATGACTGTCTATTTGCGATCTTCACCGTAATATACGGCGCATAAAGCAAAGCGAAGCTAAACAATCATCAATTAGTCAAAGCGCAGTATTACTCCGCGACGCTCCTGGCTACGGTAGCCATAATGTGACATATCTAAGATATTTTAACAGAGCGCCGTGAGCCACACGAAATCACTTCGAGGTAAGTAAGCACAACCAGAATTAATCCAGAACAATATATAAGGCGCACTGTTGTTTTTGATCAAATTAAACGCTTTAAAGTGCGCCCTGTAGTCCAGAAAATGCGGTATTTGCTAGAAAAAAGTATGTTTTTTCTTTTCTGTGTATCATATCGGAGCGTCAGTGATGCAGAAGGATATGGCGGCTTGTCAAAATGGTGTTTTTTCGTCCTCTCTGCGCCGTGAGCGAGGCGTGTTGGGTGAAACCAGCTGTGTTGTGGTTTTGGGTCGCAGCTGTTTAGCCTCCGATGGCGAGAGGCTGCGCCGGTGCGTAAGACGTCAGAGAGGAAAAACAGGACGTAACTGACCTGCTGGGAGGAAAACGGGTCTGGATCTGGTTCTGCCTCAGCAAGATGGCGAGCGAGCGGCTGATTGGAACAAAGGAAATTAAGATTATGAGAGATTACGCAATGGTTCTTCTGGTGGTAGAAGGAGATTTGACATTAAAATAGTCATTTCTGACCTGTCCATCCATCCATCCATCCATCCATCCATCCATCCATCCATCCATCCATCCATCCATCCATCCATCCATCCATCCATCAATCAGACTTTATCTTTCATGTTTTGTTCTTAAAACACTCATCAGTGTCTGACGTCTCATTCTGGAAAACGCTGTGATTGTTTTCCTTCCCTTCGTTTGTAGGATCCTCTCTGAGCGTAATGCCAGCAGCCTTGTTATTTGTGCATCACATTGACTGTCTGCTCCATTTAGCTGATGCTTGAGACATGCATCCCAGCAAGGCAGGTAATGAGATGGGACCGATGAGAACGCTGCTTCCTGCTCCTATTGTCTCTCTTACTGTATAACAACCAGGAAAATAATTGGTTCACTGCGTGGGCATGCAGCGAGTGTGTGTGTGTGTGTGTGTGTGTGTGTGTGTGTGTGTGTGTGTGTGTGTGTGTGTGTGTGTTTTCCTCCATACCCAGGGAGATCTGACAGTTGCCTTATCCATTTGGCTCCTCACACAGAACATTACGATTTCTGGCACTTGGCATTTGGGCTTTCAGTTCATTATTAATGGATGTGCGACAGACCAGCTGGGGTTTTTGGGAACTGCCAATTCTCAAAAAGCAAACAATAAAAATAAAAAGAAAAGCATCTCATGAGAAAATGGCAGCTTTGACAAAGCATCACAGGAGTGCTTTTATTGATACGGTGCCGCGAGGGAGCCAAAGAGGCAAACACACAAAACTGCTGTCAGCCGAGGTAATGATTCCCGCAATAACAGGGAATAACGGGTCGGGAAGGGAGGATCGGGAACCAACTCGGAGAGATGCACGACAGTCTGGAGAAAGCATTTGGCATTGATTTGTTTTGTCGACAAAGAAATGTGCAGACTAAGAGGATTTGTAAGATATCCCGCAGCTCATACCTGCACACACTGTGTCTGGAAATGGGCTCCTGCTTTTATTGAGTCATCCCGAGTTTTGCTGCTGTGCCTGTGAAGAGGCGGCTTCAGAAGAAAAGCGTTTGGCTGCAGCCTCGTGAAAGCCCAGTCTGAATCCCATCAGCGGGGCCAAGGCTGCCTCCAGCCCGCATTGAGTCCGCAGACCGCCGTAATTGCTGCAGCCGTTTCTGAACTTCACAGAAACCTTGTGTAGGAGTTGCGGGTGCGCCGAATGGATTACTTCAGGAGAGGAGAAAAAAAATTAATCATCACCTGCTGCACACCAAATCCTCACAAATCCCTGAAAGGATTTGCAACACATGAGGAGACACTGATTCCTTCTTCTGCTTTATGATGTGTGAAAACCGT